TCTTGTTTTGAACAATACTTGCACACAGAGACCACACAGAACATTTTGTTTATGTACACTTCAGTCACACATGTTGTGTGGATATCTGAACTGTGGACACCAGTGGCTCAGGTTGGATGTTGTTGGTTGTTGGCAGGAAGCAGACCGCGCAGCGACCCTGTCCTGGACAGACTCTGTGGAGGAAGCGGTGGAGCAGAGAGTCAGGGGTCAGGAAGCTGCTGCAGCACTCCTCCTGGAAGCTCCTGCTACTCGTCTCAGCGCAGCAGCCCAGCTCAGCTCTCATCCTCCACTCACCCCGACTCTCCTCTGCGTCCGTCCATCACCCGGTCTCTCTCCCGTCTCCTCCTGGAGGAGGATGAAGAGGAGGCGGAGACCAACGTAGATACAGGAGTCGCCGTCTCTCCTCGCCCGGATGAAGCAGTCCAAACGGTCGCTCGTTCCTTCTCGGTCGACCTTTTGATGAGACCCGCAGCAGTTGGGGCTTCTTCAGCTGAGAACTTGAGCGAAGAGTTGACAGAATTTTTGTCAAGGACTCACGTGGACCCTCAGAAGCCCGCCGGGACGAGGGCCTCTGACGGCTGTGAGGAGGCAGCCTCGGAGAGCAGGACCGCTGCAGCTGAACAAAGCTCTTTAAACAGACTCTTGTCAGAGAACAGGACTGCTGAGCTGGTGTCAGCGCGCACCCATCATCAGGAGCCAGTCAACGAGTTCTTCATCTGAATTCCTGCCACCATGACACAGTGCTGCAGATTAGCGAAACGACCGTTCACTCCGTCAAGGTTCTTTATTGTCATTTGCGTCGCATGTGGTACATGAGGTGGAACGGAATTGTGTACTCAAGGTCCCAGTTACATCCAACAAAAGTATAAATTGTAAAAGAAAAACAGTAATAAGATCTAAGATATGAGCTAAGAAATACGCTAAACGCTTAGTGGTGATACGAGCATGAAATTTGACACAAATAATCTAGACGTGTTTTCCTGAAACAGGAAGTGGGGTCAATCAAATTTTACAAGGAAAATCAGTTTTTCACATACAAAACAAGGAGCATGATTGTACTGGGATTACCCCTTTCTGGGTGGAGTTTGCATGTTCTCTCCGTGCATGTGTGGATTTTCTCCAGGTACTCCAGTTTCCTCCAAAGACCAACAACATGCATGTTGGTAACTCTAAATTGTCTCTAGGTGAGAGAGTGAATGGGTGTTTGTCTCTGTGTGTCCTCCTGCAGGTGACATGTCGTACCAGGTGCTCTTTGAGTGCAGACATTTGTTCCCTAATAAGCCACAATGCAATGATGGTGCAGTCTGAAAACCCAACAAGAGTTTATTTCAAGGTCAGTGATGAGAAACAGTAAAGTTTATTTTTTATTTAGATTTGATATTTTTGTGCAGCTGTAATACTAAATACATACTGAAATCATGTAAACAAAACAAAACGAGGATTTTTATTTTTAACCAACACTTTCAGTGAAGTTTATCTTGCTCTATTAAAGAGACGTCGATGAAAAGCTCGTTGTTACTGCATGTTCTTGTATAAGAAGTTGGACACGTCTGTAGTTTCAGTGCTGAATCAGCCAAAATGATCAATTCCTCGGGATGTTTTCAGACAAGTTTAAGGAAAAGTAAGTAGAAGATGACGGCAGGTGCAGATGTTTTTGTTTGTATTCTGTTATCTTATTTGTTCAAGTAAAAATGAAATGATCTTCAGCACGCAGGCTGCAGTCAGTCGTGGGATGAGCCAAGTGAAAATGTGAGCAGAAGTCTGGTCTGGTGCAGCTCTGCGTTGAGAAGTTCGTGTTGGTTGATCGTGTGATATTTAACAGTTGTTGGCTCGTGCATGTGTTTATCTGAGCGTTACACACGAGAAAGAGGATTATCAGTAACTATCAAACGTGACATTAAAACCTACATCTGTAAAATCTTTATTCTGAAAGCATGATTATGCAAAACCACGAACACATCCTGCCTGTAATAGCTGTTTTTTATGACTTTAGTCAAATTAAGTGCAGCATTACATAAAAATACTGAGATAGGCTCAACCATTTTTAAAACTGACACGTCTGCAGGACGTTATCAGACAATATATCACATATCGTATATTAATACCATACAACCCACGTCTGATGTGCTGGCTGCTCCATATCCTCTACAAATAAACTACCTTAAATCTTTAAGCGAGATTATTTTTATAGTAATAGATGTTCACAATGATGTGCAGGATTATAGGTAAACTAACAAAGCTGTTTTCCCAGTTAACCTAATGATAATATGTGTAACAAATACCACACAATGACAAGGTTCTTGTACCGTGTTGTTCGGACTATAAGGCGCATTAAACAAAACAAAACCTAAATTAAACTTGATTCAACTCATTCACAATAACCAAATCAGTTCGAGGTCAGAAAGCACAACCAGAATTAATACACCTGATTAAAAGGCTCACTGTCAAGTTTTGATCAAATTAAAGGATTTTGAGTGCGCCTTATAGTCTGAAACATACGGTACTTTTTGAAACACTTGGTGCACATTTTCCCTCTCCCTGTCAGGAACTGGTTTTAACCTCCAACCCAGTGAGCAGGTTTACCTCTGATGTTCGGAGACTCTCAGGTTCTCGGTCACTTTCAGTTGGATTGGGAAGGTGCCCACGTGAGGTCTTAGTCCCCCAACCAGCAGTGAAGAGGTTGAATCCACGTGATCCAGCTCGATGTGTAGCTCTGAACGAGGAAGATTTCACCTCCACTGCTGCTGGAGCTGAGTTTATTCCAGTTAGCTCTTAAAGGTCCAGAAAGTTCATCTTAAAAGGAGAGCAGCCCATTTGTACCCTCCTCTCCTTAAAGTGATGTCCTGCAGTGGTCCAACACAGCTCCTTGGAAGTCATTGAGATGTCTTTTTCCTTCGACCCTGCCAGGATGCTTCAGCTTCTGAATCCCATTCAGTGCTGGTTGTTTTACCTCCAGCTTGTTTCTGAACATCCTCCTCCACAGGGTAATGGTGGACTGAAGCTTCACGTGTATTGCTCGTGTTTTGCTGTTATTTTGTGTGTTTCTTCTTGTTCTAATGGCCAACAGCTTTAATAAAAGTTTCAAGAGGACGGTTTGAACAAAGCATGTCTGAAAGTCAGTCAGTTGAGTGTGAGGATGATCTGAACTAGTGGGACACATCGACTCTTTGGACCACGTCCTCCTATTGCACGTAGGCCTACAGTCCCAAAAAGGACACATCTAAAAGTGTTTATTTCCTCGTGATTTTTGTTCACGCAGACCAGAAATATTCAATCTCATTCACAATCTACTTTGTTCCCCACGAAAAAAGATTTTTTAAATCACAAATTGTTTAGTAAAATTGCACATTGTTTTTTCAGTCAGATTATCTACATAAATGGGATTGTAATTCCACATACTCAGGGACATGCTGCTCTCAGTAGTATAAATATGTGCTTCTGAATGGATGAACTTAGTGTTGGACTAGTTTGAGCTGGACGACAGTCTGCTGCATGTTAAACTAGATGTTTTAAGTTGGAAAAGTTCTTGTTCTTGATATAAATCTGAGTCTTATTGCACTTTTGTTGTTCCAGCGCCCTCTGCTGGTCAGAGGAGGTCATTGTTCTCTGGAATATTGCTGCAGCCAGTCCAGCTAAGATCCTTGGCCCACTGACCCACTCTGGTGACCCGAACCTTCACGGGGTCGAACCTCCAGAACTGCTGATCTCTGAACAAGTAGAGGCGTCCGTCTTTATGGGTCAGCGCCCCGTTGGACCCCTGTGGAACACCCTTCCAGTCCGTCAGTCTGCGGGGGTAGTAGGGTTCTTGACGCAGTGTTTTGAGGTTGAGCACGTGGTAGCGTGCACCCTTGAAGAGCACCATGTGACCCAGAGGGGCATAATAAAAAGCACAGTCAGGGTGACGAGGAAACTCGCTGCTTTTTATGGGGAAACCCGGGTCCAAGACCCCGTCTGTGTAACGCCACATCCGCTTCCCTGAAAAACACAAAGCAAAAGAAGGATAACTTCTTTAATTATCATTATACTCGTTTTTTTTAAGCCCCTTTAAATGTAAAACTATGGAAGAACAGTGTAACTAATCAGAAATTTACAGAAGACTGGAGGCGGCGAGGCCGTTTAATGGAAATGACATGTCCTACATATGAGCAGG